TTTTTATCTTTTTTCTTTTTTTTTTTTTTGGCTAACAATAGTTTTGCTTTCATATTTTTACATTTTCTTTCTCTTCTTTTGAATATTTTAAAATTTCAAATTCATATTAATTAATTTTTCTTTAATTAATTTATTCTATTCACTTGTTTGAGTATTCTAAAAATTATTCATTTCGAATATTAAATTTAAAATTTCACTATTGTTTAAAATTTTCATTCGTTAAAATTTCATTTATTTATTGATAAAATTTTGTGTGAAGGTTAATTTTTTTTTTTTTGTGTTTACTTGTTTAATTTTATAAAATTATTTATTTTCAATGTTTAACGTTTCAATTTTTTTCGTTGAAATTTTTCAAATTTATAAAATCATTTTTTTATCAATTTGAAATTTAAATTTTAAATATTTCAATAATCTATTTTAAATATTGTTAATATTTTATGTTGAAACAATTTTTCCTTTTTTTCTTTCGAAAATTTTTTTTTAATTTATGAAGTTTTTTTTCTTTAATTTTTATTATTTTCGCTGTTTTTATTTAAAATGTATTTTATTTTTTCCAAATTTAAATTCAAAATATTTCATTCATTTGAGTTAATATTAATTGATTTCATTTATATCAATAAAAATTTCGAATATTCCATTCATTTAAGCTAACATACATTCCATTTATTTAATTTATTCATTTAAATTTTAATTACTTTTTTGACTTATTTTGTCGTTTTATGTAATTTTTTTATTTTCAGATAACAAATAGTATTTTCTTTGGTCAAGAAAGTAAAACAACAGAAATGAATGCTACACCTATTGATTTCAATCGTACTGGTAATGGTCCAATTGCAAATTCAACACCAAAAACGGAATCATCAAAATCCGATTATCCGGCAAGTAATGAAGAAAAACCTGTCGTATGTCTTTCTCTCTCTCTCTCTCTCTCCCTCTCTTCTTTTTCTATTTTCTTATATCAATAAGTAAAAAAAAAAATGTAAAAGTAATTATGAAAAACTATCATAATTAAAAAAAAAGAATTATTTGAATAAATGAATGAATAAATAAATGTAAAAAATTAAAATTTCTTTTTTTTCGTTTTAAAATTAAGTTACTAATTCAAATTGCTTAATTTATATATATTTAAATTATAATTTTTCATATTCCAACAATACATGTAGCATAAATTTATATTTGTAATTAATTTAAAAAAATATTAATGACTGC